CAATGTAATATTTGAGATATTTTCCACACTCAATTTTCCTTGTCCTGATTACAATAATCGCACCAGATAATCTTGAACAGGGAGCATATCCGCATGACATTGTTTTCTTACAATTTAGGAACAGCAATAATAAAATGTAGATTCTGTACACCTGCAATCAACCTCTCTCCCTTTTTCAGTCTCATTCATTTTCCAGGAGCATAAATCAGGAAGTTAAACCTGTATAGGTTCTGTTTTGTCTTTAAACAAAAATGAATTCTTAAAGATGAACGAAGCATACTGCTATCTCCGATCAAGGTATCATCAGAGAAAGAGCCTTGTGTGTGTGGATACTTATGTAACTTACAAACACATGCAAAGGTGCATGTTTAAAAGCAGATAGATAGGGAGTGTTTGTCATACAATGTGGTTGTTGATTCTGCAGCCTGAGGAATAGCTCTCCCTGTGCTTTGCTGCCCCCTTGGCAAACTAGGAGGATTTACAACGGAATTCTGCAAAGGGAGGGCTGGAAACCATGCTCCTCTTGTGGGCTGGCCTGGCTCGGAGGTGTTTGAAATGGCTATTACAGATTCCCATTGGCTTGGCTATGTTGCAGAGAGAAATGAGAACATCTTTCCGGTGGAGAACCAGATTTTCCTCTTTTTAAAATAACTCCGTTTCCGCCAAGATCCACGTGTGATCCTCTGAGTTATTTTGAAAGGCTTCAGATTTCTTTCTTTCTTTTTTTTTTTTTTTTTTTTTTTTTTTTCAGTCCGGAAGGGAAATGCCAAAAGAAGGAAAAGGTGGAAGATGACTGAGTGTGCACTCAGGGAGACTTTCGGGCTCACTTGGGTGCGGTGGCCAAGGCCATCCATCCGTTTTCTATGGTCTAAGCTTCCACTCCTGTCCACAAGATAACCCTGCTCCGATGCCGGCTCACTCCCCTGAGCCCAGAACACTTAGTTGAATCTTGTTTAGGAAATGCAAAGCACCTGGGTGGCCAAGGCGGAGGCTCTTGTATTCTCTTATTTATTTATTTATTTATTTTTTTCCAAATCGCTCCCAAAAGAGAGCGCTGGGGCAATAATGCCTATCAATGTTGGGATTCTTCTGCATCATCGTTTCTGCTTGTTTCTCCTGGTGATGCCATTCTAAGGCTCTGCGCCTCTGTCCCTCCTCCGCCCCAGCCCCCGCCTTCCCATCTCCCTAGACATATCTCCTACTCCCTCAAACTGGAGTCCTCCCCCATTTTCCGGTGTCTTAGTCTTATTTGTGGTCTTATTAGGCGGGCATTGGGTGCGTGGGTAGGAGGCAGATTTCCTGACTGTTTTCTTTAAATGTAGCCTGGGTGGGTGGACTCCTGACAGAATTCCTCCCTCACACGACAAACAGTTAATTAAAAAATAATAATAATAAAAACGAGAGTGTGGAGGAACCCAGAGTTCCACATGTCCCATGTGCCGCTAGCAAAGGGAAAAAACACGGGGACAGCGTGGTGGGGTGTTTGAAATAAAGACTCAACTTCGCTGGCAACTTCCATACATTTGGTAACGGGAGGCACAAACTAGGTTCGGTTCGGAGGGCTGTGTTTGGTCCTGATGAAACACTAGGGCTCCCTCCCATGCCCGAGCCTGGAGCTGGAAGCCTGGAAGCCTGCCCTTGGCGTCTGGCCACGCGAGTGCCCCGAAACAGCAGCACCCCCCTCCCCCAAACACACGTGAACAAAGCTCTGGCCTCGGGAGCCGCAGCCTGCGGTTTCCTCCTGGCATCCAGCTCCTCCCCGGAGCGCAGGGCACACACAGGGTTAAGTCAGTTCCCTCCGCCTGTAGGAGGGAGGGGAGGGGAAGGGAGGAGGAAAGCAGCCTAGTGTCTCCTCAGGCTGGGTACCTCGTAGTTAGTTGCACATTGGAAACCTGTCGCCTTCACTTTGGAGTTTGACATCTTCCCTTGTCGCCGCAGAACCAAGAGCGCTCCCAGACCGCATCCGTGGCCGGAATCCCCGCGCCGAGGCTCCGAGATCTCCGGGCGCTTCTCTGCTCCCAGGTCCTGAGTGACCAGGAGCAGCGAAGCCACAGCTCCGCCGGCCGCCGTGCCCGCCCAGCCCGGGACCGGTTGGCCCTTCTCAACGATGGGCAGGAGGGACCTTGGCGGCGACCCCTAAAACAATACCATGCCCCGGGAGCCCCGCTGCTGCCGCCGCGCCAGCTTCTTTCCTTTCCACCTCCCCGACCCGGTGGGATTCGGATGAGCCCGCGGCCAGGAGACGCGGACACCAGGTAAAGGGCTGCGGTGCCAGGTGGCGTTTCCAGGAACCTTGGGCACTGCCGCTATGCGGGCGCCACGCGGTCTCTCTCTCCTTTTTTTGCGGGGGGGGGGGCTTCTTTTTTTAACGAGCAAGGGAGGGGGGCTGGTTAGCTAGCGGGTGGGAGGGATGTTTAGGTTGCTATCTTTCATCCAGAGAGAAAACGCACTGCTTCATTAGCCCCCGACTTTGGGGAAATCTGGGTTCAGGTCGAATCCACCTCCTCCAAGGAGTTTTCTAACTGAGCTCCGAGTCACAAAGTAAATGTGCTTGCCTGCCTGCCTGCCCGGAGCATCCTCCTGCATGGGGGTTCCAGAGCCACCAAACTTGCCTGAACCCAGAATGAATCTGTTAACTTCCAGCAGTCACATCCCCCGACACCCACACCTCTGCGCCCACTCCATCTGTGGTTAATGTCACCCGCCTTCTTATCCGGAGCTGGCGCCCGAGCCACCAGCACCCCCCTGCCCGCACCTCTGTATCTGTTAGTGGCTAAGAAGATGGTGTGTGTGTGTGTGTGTGTGTGTGTGTGTAGGGGGAAACAGTTTGCTAGCTCCCTTTTCTTTGAGTTGAGGAGGTGGTTACTTTTACCAAAACCGAGTCTTTCTCCAGATCTGCTGGTGTTGAGTGGCCTGGCACTGAGCTGGCACCAGCGCATCCTCTGCGCGCCAGCGGCGGCCAGGAAGGCGCGGGGAGCTTGCCAGGCTGGACCCACTGCGTTCTCTGACCGGGTGGGTGGGACGCAGGGAGGGGAGGCGGATACCTCCCCGCTCAGGCACTGAGTTCAGGGGAGAGGCGAAGGTGAGGAGGAGAGCAGGGGCTGAACCTAACCAGCTACCATCCAGCCCCTCAGAAGGCTTGGACCCGGCTAGAAAGAACTCCAAGCAGTGCACACTAGATCTCTGCTCTCAGCACCAGCTCGCTCACTTCTCTTTTGTAATCAGTGCAAGATCAAGGTGGCCAGTTGCAGTGGGGACACTCACTGGGGAAAGGAAGTGTGGGGAAGCGGGTGATGGGGCCGGGCTGGACCCACCCTGGATCCCAGGAAACTCCTGGAGCGTTTAGAGCTCCCTCAGGACCTGGCCCGCAGCGGAAGCTGCTGGTGGAGGCGGTGCCACCGCCAGTGTGGTCGCTCCTGGCACCTCCTGGCAAGATGGCACTGAGTGTCTGTCCTAGTTCAATGAACACCCCCAGCCATGCCCCTCCTCCTCCTTCGGACATGATCACACACTGAGTTTGGGGAGAAGAGCGGCTATGTGTAAGTCAGGCTAAAAACTCTCCTCGCCACCTTTGCAAAACGCAACCAGAGCAGCGGTTAGCGGGCAGGAACCCGGAACCTGGTGGTGTGTGCTTGGGTGCCAGCGTGCGCCTAGGGCATGCATCTGGGTGGATCTGTGCGTGGCTTGTGCTTGGGAGGCGACGCGGGCATTTTTCCCAATCCTCTCAACACCATGCTGGCGCTCAGAGACCCGCAAGAGGTAGACCCAACCAACGGGGATGCGAAGGAAATAAAACAATTGGGAAAGCGGTGCCAAGTGACTCAGGCTGTGGACGGAGGACCGGGAAGTCATCCGGACCAGATCCTGGCCAGGCCACCGCCTCTGCCGGCTGAGAGGCTCCCTAGGGAGTCGGTCCCAAGCCAGGTTCAAGCTCATGGGGGCGGCTGGCCCGGCCCCACAGAAGGCCAAGCGCGCCTGGAAGCGCAGCCCAGCGACTGGCGCGAGCTCGCTCTCCCTCTTCCGTTCAGATCCTGCCTCTCTGCAGACTTGTTCGAACATGACAGCAACTTACTGGAGGCAGGAGCGGCGGCGATGAAAGGAGAGAGGGGGAAACCAGAACCCCCTTTTCCCACCCCACGAGCGAGACGTGCTCCTGGTTTTCTTATCTCTCTAACTTTTACCAGGAGCTTGCGAGTGGGAACGCTTGATGCTTACACATCAGGCTTCTTCTTTAGCTGTCAAGCCCGTTCCCTAAACCTTTGGGGCCGAATGTGTTTGTCCCTGGTAATCTACTAGCAAAGTGAGCAACAAAGCTCTTTTTTCCAGCGGCCAAAGGGAAGGGAGAAGACGGGGTGTGGAAGATTAGAAGATAACCGTCTTTCATTTGGGTTATATCACCAATTAAAGTTATTGAAGAAGGTCCGGGATCAGGGAACGACTGACTGATGACTTGATGAGGTGTGTGTGTGGGGGGGGGGGGGGGAATCACCAAAATTGCTTGCATTTGACTTCACGCCATCTTGGTGGAGACACTTGTAATATTTTCACCCCCTCATCTGTCCTTGCCATCATTTCCAGGCGTCTAAGGAATAGACCCTCTGGCTTGGAAGTACCACCCGAGCGGGCCGGGGGAGGGGGGGGGGGATAGACGTTCAGCGTTGTGGTGGGGGCGCGATCCCTAACAGTCGTGGTGCTGGTGGGATGGATCAGGGCAGAGAGAGAGGAGGAGGCGTGCTCGGTCACCGTGGCATCCCAGTGTCCGCCCGGCGTTCTGCCACTCTCTTCAGGGAGGACAGGGTTAAGAGAAGCTCCATCTCACTTTGCCTCTTGGAAAGCTTTGGGCTGCGGCCGCGCCTCCCAAGCATTCTTTAAACCAGAAATGTGGGAGGGACTTGCAGAGGGAGGGGGAGGCGGGAGCGAGGGAAGGAAAGACGGCTCCGGGAGGGGAGCGCGCCAGAGCGCTGGGGCCGGGGGAGAGGAGGGGCGCGGGAGCGGCGGAGGCGACGCCGTGAATTCATTACTGTAAACATCTCCCGGGGGGTGTCAGGAGGGGCGGGGGTGGGGGCCGCCGCGCCTACAAAGCCCGGCCGCGTCGGATCCGGGCGGCAGTGAGGTCGGAGCCGCCTCCAGCCCCACGCGGGACCGGCTGGAGAGAGCCCGGCGCAGCGCCCCGCCGGGGTCCGCGCAGGGGGCACCCGGGCGTCGGAGGCCAGTCCTCCCGGCTCTCCAGACGCCCCCCTCCCCCGGGATCCTCCTTCTCTGGAGGATCCCCGACCCTAGGGACTGCCGATCACCGATCACCGCCTTTTCCCTCCGCTCGCTCTCTTTCTTTGGAGACCGGTCGGCGGGGGAGCCGGGAGGCAGCGGGGGGGCCCGGCGGCCGGCGCGCAGAGAGAGGGGCATGCCCCAGCCCTGCGGGCGGAGGTGGCGGAGGCCGGGGGGAGACGATGCCGCGGCTCGGTAGGGGAGACAGGCGAGAGCGAGAGAGGCGAGCGGGGCTCCCGGGCTCCCGCCCGCTGCGGGGAGGCTCGAGCCGCGGTCTGAGGCTCCTCAGGCCTCCGCACCCCCGCGCCCCGACGCTGCGGGCGACCCGGCCGGGCTCCCGCAGCCGCCACGGTCGTCGCCGCCTCCAGCCGGAGGAGCGGGCAAAAGTTTGGATCTGGGGGAGGACGCGGCGCTGAGCGGGATTACCGGCAGGCCAGAAGGATACCACGGAACGCTTGGCAGGTAACGGGCACCCCCAACCCTCTCTCCCCGGGTCCCCTCCGCTGTGTGCCTGCTCCCTCCCAGCTCTGGCGGAAAGTAAGTGGGAGGCGAAGTTCCAGATCCTCCATCCCGGGCGTGGGCACCTGGTGCCGGGAGATCTCCAGTGTCGGGGGGTGGGGGCAGCTGTGCAGCCAGGCGAGTCCCCCCTGGGAATGGACCCGGAGCCGCGGCTCCAGCTGGTGCCCGATCTCAGGGCTCCCCGGGAATTTAGAAGGTGGTGGGCAGAGCGGCTTTCAGCCTTTTTCAATCAGGGGAGATGATGGCTGGATCTCACCCTCTCACTCTCCTCTGGCATACTGCAAATGAGAGCCGGTTCGCATCCCCCTACCGCGCTCAGCTGGTGCAGAAAGCAAATGGGGTGGGGGTGGGGGTGAGGGGCTCTGTGAAAATTTCCAGGAAGGGGGGACATTTATCCTTCTCCCCTTTTGACATCCTGGGGAGGGTGTGTGTGTGTGTGGGGGGGGGCGCTTTCCTCCACCCAGTCAGCTTAGGGCATCATAAAACAGGAACTTTAGAAGTCACGTTTGGATTGAAGGGCGAGATGAAACACTAGCCACTGGTGATGTGATTTGGAATGCGCGTGTGTGCTGGGGTGTGTGTGTGTGGGGGGGGGGTGTCGCAGAGAGGTTTTGATTTTTCTTTGGCGGCCTGATGTGCTGGGGTGTGTGTGTGTGTATGGGAGGGGGGCGCGCTGAGTGGTTGTGAGTGTGCACTGAGGAGAGGGCAGCTGGGAGACCGCAGCCTCACTTAGGTTAGAAAATAGCTCTGCCTTTCACTCTGAGAGCGCAAGGATTCCAGCCCTGTTTTCCCCAATGTTCCCTCTCCCTCACCCCCAGTTGAGTTTTGAGTTTCCAAGCGGCTCAAGGTTTTCCCTGCTCTCTCTCTCTCTCTCTCTCTCTCTCTCTCTCTCTCTCTCTCTCTCTCTCTCTCTCTCGTATTAGGATCATTATTAACTCACCTGGAAACTGACGGTACCTTCTCTTGTAAATGGAAATCCGTCTCCAAGAGCTTGTGATTAATTTTAGCGGAAGGGACTCCCCTGGTAAAGCTTACAGTAAGCTAATCAAGGGCAAGGCACAAATCCGTGTAAATGCTCGCCCAGGAGTGCAAGGTGCTGATGAGATTTCTCCGCATGCTGCATTGGCTATGCAAAGCCTCTTCCAAATGGGATCTATTGCTCCCCGCTCAGCTAGGAGGCTCTTTCATCACGAAGGGTTTCCTGGAGCTCTGGGGCATGTCCACCAGCTCTCAGGCTTATTGCTGGATTTATTATGTCTCACTTCTCCCAGCCCACAGCTAATGCAAAGGCTAGCTTCCATATCGGGGAGATATTGTCCGGGTGACCTTATTAAATCGCCAGGGAAAGGATTCCCCAAATGTTAGGTGCATAGAATGCAGCCTGGGACTTGTCCAGGGCTGTATTTGGTGGCTGCAGTGTGCATGTAAAAATTCAGTTCGGCATCTGAAGTGTTAGAACTGGACTTTACAAAAGAATCGCTAAGCAACATGCACCAGATCCATAAGATAATGGGCCACCGTATTAGAAGATAATAAATCCTTGGATAATGCACGCACCAGGAAAGTTGCTAATTTTCCCCACCATGTTACTGCCCTCCAGAACACACTTTTCTTCTCCCCCCTGCTCAAAACCCTCAAACAGGATAGGGTTAAGCCATTGAAGGGTTTCTAACAGCCAGAGATGACAGTGTAACATCATACTGTCACGTTGAGTTGCAAATATCTGAGTGGAAGAGGTTGGAGATGAAATTTCAAACAGGATTCTGTGTCTGTGTCAGTCAGTGGACACAAGGCGTTGTAGAAAAGAATTGGGCTGGCTGTACTGGAGCAGAGCCTGTTACAAAACTAGCATGGAAGAATGCCTTTCCCCCCCCCCCCCTTTCTTTTAATGTCCCTCTTAACATGTCACTAGTTTCACTGCAGTTTTACAAATTTCAGGGACTGCTTTAGACAGAGGAAAGTAGATTCCCAAGTGACACTACGCTGGCCGCCTTAGTGTTAGTTCTCAGGACAGTCATGGTATTTTTTTTCTTTTCTTTTTTTTTCCTTTTTTTCCCCCCCTGTATGCTGGGTTTCAGATGATGTGATCTTATCTGAGTTTGACTTGGCCCGGCTGCATCTAATTGGAAGCTCATCTGATGCCTATTCCATTTATATTCTGGCCTGCTGGAGAGTTTGATTTAGGATGTAGGCATAGCTTCTTAAAGCAACCTTACATCTTCCCAGTTTGAAGCTGTGGTTTCAAGAAAGGCTCAAGTATGTGCGAGCCCAAAAGCCTTCAGAAGGTAGAGACCCCCTGTGAACCTCTGATCTAGTTTGAGTCTTCAGCTCTGTGTTATGCGAGGAAGCATTGCTGCTTCTGAGATCAGCCCTGTCTGAAGTTAAAAAGCGAGCCAGGGTGCCAGGGAGTCTTAGTTTTGCGCTCTCTCTCTCTGTTTCCAAGATTCCAAAAAAGGTCAAGGTGATGTCATTTTATTTTCCATTCAGGTCAGACCTTCCTGGGTAATCATCTTTTGGTATGTTTTACTTTAATTTCATTGCACGTTCATTTTTCACTAGATTACTTTAATGACTTTGTGGTTACTGCCACAGTGATTCAAATTCAGTCCATTAGTGACCTCTGTCTGTGAGATGTGAATACTCATTGTTTTTCTTTTCTTCTCATCAGAATCTACAGATTATGTGCTGGGGAGAAAACGCACAGCCCTATAGCTCTTTCCAAATATTCCGATTTTCAAACTGGATTTTTCTAATACGGAGTTCAGTGCAAGTAATGATATTTAACAACAGCAATAAAAATGTTAGAGGGTAATCGGCTACTAAACGGCTCTTCTATGGAGCATTGACGATATGATCAACATAAATAAAACAGCAGTGGTACCCGCTGCCAATAAAGGGGTTGTACAGTCAGGTAGACTAATGTTTTGAGACTCACAAAGCTGCTAGATGTCAGTGGAATTTTATTGCCCCCGAGTGCTTACATAACAAGGGAAACTTGATTCAAGCCCAGAACATGTATGTGGTGACTAGATTTCATAGTAGCAGTGTGTATATGTCTTTAAATTCAGCTGTGAACTTATGGCAAGATCAAGAGTGAGTCAGGTGTGAGAAGGGTGTCTATAAACAGATGGTATTTTAAGGAGACCTTCAAAATCGGATCCCGAATCCAGCTTTGTCTCCTTGGGGTTTTCAAGTTGAAATTTTCAGTTGGAGTTGATTATTCTAATGGTAATGGAAGACAAAGTTTGCTGAATTTCTTAGGAGGGTGGATACCATTATCAGACATTTTCCAGATGGTTTTTGATGTGCTGGTATTTGGGGATATGGGATTTTAAGGATTTTTTTTTCCTTTCTCCTTTCTTTTCCCTTGGGCAGGTTTTGTGCAAAAGACATTTTTAAAGGGCCAATTATTATTATTAAAGTTAAACAATCATTATACTACCCCAGCCAGACTTCTTTTTTTCTCCACCCTCCAAATTGCTTTGCTTATTTAATTTTTTTTTTTCTAAAACCTACATGTTGGGGATTTGAGTAAGTTATCAGTATTTTTCTCATTCTTTACTTTTTTTCCAGCAATGTGAGCTCTAATGAAGTATCTGTGTAGAGGAAAACACACACACTCACATACATACACATCAAGAACCATTTTAAGACAGAGATTCTTTTCAAGGCTTTAAAATATGTTCCTTTTTCAAGAACTATGACACAAATATTGTAATAAAAATATCCTGTGTTCCGATGAATACAGAGACTTATTTCAGCCGCATGGAACAGTAAAACACTGTATTAGCAAAATAATCAGTGGTGTTTTCAGTACATGGTCAAAATCTGTTAGAACCTTCATAGCTTTTTTTTTTTAAACCCCTTTGGCGACTTTCGCATCTACTGGTCTTTTTTGGTTTTCTTTGATTTCTTCTGCTGTGGGTCTTTGAAGTGCTTCAAAATTCAACAGTAGCCACTTCTTTAGGGAAATTCATCATGTTACGTTCAGGATTCCAGAAGAGTTAATGATGCAGAAAAAGTCCTGTAAAACATCTTTTTAAAAGAAGTCCTTCTCTTGCAGGCTTCCCACTCACTGGCCTCCTGCACCATTTGCAGTGAATTGGAACTCCGTTATTTATTTATTTTTCAAATACCACCTCTAACTTAAGTTAACATGGGATGTGTTTCTGCAGAAGCACGCTTCGCTATGTGTCCCGAGTCGCCTGAACAAAGCAGTGTCATTTTTTTTTGCAGTTCTGTAATAGGGGAAGGTCAAAGAGTATCCTTGCATAATTTGGGAAGTCAAAAGGCCACATTCATGCTCTCACACTGGTCAGTTATTCCGCCCCTAATAAGGCACACATTTTCTGGAAGGTTAGTGGTTAAAGTCCTGAGCTTTTTTTTTTTTTTTTAAGCATTTACAAAATTAATAAATATCTGGCGTTTCTAACCATTAGCCTAAGCTCATTAAAACTGAACTATTTTTCTCACTTTCTTCCCTGGTTGCTTTTAAGAGAATGTGCAAGAAACTTGGCAAAAGGTCCCCTTCCACTCCAGGTCACAGGTCATGCGTTATGTATTTCAGTTCTCTTTATGAGAGCTTTCAAGACACAGATAAAAGAGGCTTCTATTGGAACCATTTAGGAACCTCAGGGCTTTGGATTTCAACCCATCGGAAAATATCAGGTACCAAAGTTCATAGATGCTATTAGGCCTCAGAACGCTGAAACCTGTTTCACCAGGGCTCCTAAAATTGGTTCACAAATTTACGGCCCATGGAAGTCACCAGAGGTCATGTGGCTGAATGGAAAACATTAGACTCATGTCAGTCCAGAAATAGGTCCACGTGTTGGTGTCACTCTTAGCCTCAGCTGCCTATGGGCATCACTTTCATGAAACCCAGTGTCAAAATAGCCTCTGGGATAGTTTCCTCTCCCACTTTGCTCAAGAGTTAGGACTCT